TACCTTCTGGCCAGGCGCTGGTGGCTCACACCTGTAATCCCAAACTAATTAGGAGGCAGAGATCTGAGGATTGTAGCTCAAAAACAACCCCTGCGGGGTTGGGAAGGTAGCTCAGTGGTAGAGTTCTTGCCTTGCATGCATGAGGCCCTGGGTTCGATTCCTCTGCACCACATAAGCAAAAAGAAAAAAAGCCAGAAGTGGTGCTATGGCTCAAGTGGTAGAGCGCTAGCCTTGAGCTGAAGAGCTGAGGGACAGCAACCAGGCCCAGAATTCAGGCCCCACGACCAGACCCAAAAAAATAAAATAAAAAACAACCCCTGCAAGAAAGTCTGTAAGATTCTTATCTCCAATTAACACCCCCACACACACTAAAAAAAAAGCCAGAAGCAGAGCTGTGGCACAAGTGGTAGAACACCAACCTTGAGCAAAAAAAGCTAAAGTACAGTGCCCAGGCCCTGAGTTCAAGCCCTACTATTGGCAATCAATCAATCAACCATTCAATCAATCAATACCTTGAATCTAGTAGTGGAGTTTCCCTTCTTTCCTGGTTTGCTTTTCAATCATAAATGAGTGGCGTTCCGCTTATACTGTGAGATATGTGCATGCCCTTGCCTTTATTCTACTAAAATAGTTACAGAACAGAAGCTGCATTCCAGGATGAACTGCATTCTCCCCATCTTCCCTATGAGCCTGTCTCCACTGTTCCTCCAGAGGCCCCATGCAGCCATATGGGTGCAATAGTAGCAGTCTCGGTTCACCTACTTTCCACACTTGTCACTCTCTAGACAGACACCATGTGAGACCAAGTTCATCATCCACATTTGCCATGCACTGTAAACCCTTCAGTCAGCACCAAGACCCTGAGGATCAAGAGGGCTCCAAGCTCACACTATGCCTCTGCTGTCCCATGTCACAACATTATACATACTCACTGTCATTCCCACCCAGTGACTCTCAAAGCCCAAGCTCTCCATGCCATGTGACCTTGTACTCAGAATACAGCACAGCCTTGGACAGTCATAGGATGGACAGACCAAAGCCTCTTCCTCATGCTTTACTCTGGCTGAACTACCCAGATAACTTGCTCATCTATCTCCTCCAATACCTCTGAGTTTCTCACACGTAAGAAATAATTGTAAAGATGACCAATGTCACGCTGGCCAGAACACTGTTCCTAACCTAGAGCTAAAGACACAGAATTCTGAGAATTCGAGGGAAGCTAAAACCACACTGTAAGGACCTACCTCTGGACCTAGAGGACAAGGCTCCTTACAGAGGAGGTGGGGACAGGCCAAAGTAGCTATGTGCTGGCCAAAAGCAGGCAGACTCTGGGACTAGGACTACTCACACTCTAATCAGCCAGACTCCTGGAGTTAGCTGGAAGTCTGTTACAGCAAAGCAGTGGGGCAGACTAATGCATGCAAAGGGTGTCCACAATACTTCCTGAAGAAAGCCAGATCACAAAGGGGGCAGCACCACCTAGTGGTAGCCACATTCAGAACCCATAGTGCAGGGTCACACTGCCCCAAATGATGGCAAGGCCTACATTTAAACTTATATATTGAATTGTAATCCTTTTGTACTATTACTTAAAGACAATAAAAACGTAATTTTTAAAAGTGGAAAAAAAAAAGATCAAGGCACTATCTGAGGATCGACGCTCAAAGACAGCCTGGACAGTTAAGTCCATAAGACTCTTAATTCCAATTAACCACTAGAAAGCTGGAAGTAGGAAGTGGTACTGTGGCTCAAGTGGTAGAGCTGAGGGACAGCGCCCAGGCCCAGAGTTCAAGCCCCATGACCAACCTCCCCCCCACACACACACACTAAAAAAAAAAAAAAAAAAAATGGAATAACCTGAGAACAGGGACAGGAGGGGGAAAATGAAGGGAATGGTGACACTGACCAGGAACACTGTTGTCATAACCTGATATATGGAATTTTAAGTAGCTCCTTTGTACAACTACTAAATCATAATTTAAAAGGGGGAAGTGACTGCATGCCAGTGGCTCATACGTGTAATCCTAGCTACTCAGGAGGCTGAGATCTGAGGATTGCAGTTAGAAACCAGACTGGTAGAAAGTCCGTGAGGCTTTTATCTCCAATTAACTACCAGAAAACCAGACATGGAGCTGTGGCTCAAGTGGTAGAGCTTTCACCTTGAGCTAAAAAGCTAAGGGACAGTGCCCAAATCCTGAGTTCAAGCTCTAGTACTGGTCCAAAATTATACATACCAAAGCCACACTCCTAGACCATTCATGCATCTACTTCCAAGCAGCTTTCAGAATGGGTCCCTAAAGTGGCAGTCACACATACCTATTCATGACTTGCCAGCGTGTTAATGTGCAACTCCTCCTTCTGGGACACAGCAGGGGGCGCAACTCCTCATTCCTCCCACCCATTCCAGCACCACATTCAATCTCATTAGGCATGGAAAGGTCCAACAGCTGCCTTAACACTGCTCATCTTCCACTCCCAAGAAAATAAAGAAGAGGAAAGAAACTTTAGGGTTGAAAGCATGGTTCAGTTGGTAGAGCGCTAGCCAATGATCGATAGCATCAGAAACCAAGTTCGAGACCTAGTCTCAGACCAAAAAATAAAAATGTAAAGAAATCATTTTCTCCCAACTTATGAAGTTTGGGCTTGATTTTTTTTGTTTGTTTTGATGGAGACATTTTGTTTTGTTGGTAGGTAGGTTACCTAGACTGGCATGGAATTTCTGGGCTCAAGCAATCCTCCTGCCTCAGCTTCCTAAGTAGCTGGGACTATAGGTAAGCCACCATGCCTATCTTAAAGTTGAGACCTTTTTGTTCCTCTTCTTGATGCTGTGACAAGAGGCACATATGATCTGAACTCAGGGCCTCACACATGCTATGCACATGCCCTGGCAGCCCTCAAGCTCAACATGATCCGTATGAGAGACCAAATTTATATCTGCATCCCACATGTGTGCAGCCCAAGCCTCCTGAGGTCAAGGCTAGCTGGAGGGCAATTTGGACATGTGTGGGGCTGCACAAGGAGATTGGCAGGCAGCACTGGGGCTTCTAAGATACTAGGTCTCCACATGGGCCCACAGAGCTGCAGTACAACAGATGAAGTACAAGAACTTTCCCCAAACAAAATCCACTTCCAGGGTGTTTCAGGAGACAAGGGCCAGAACAGGTTTGCACCCTCAGCCTCCCAGAAAGCCAAGTCAGATCATAAACATCCCTTAAGAACAGGATGTGATCCTGCTGGCTAGGCACAGCACGAGATAGGAACAACACTATGCTCCTTGGCCACAGGAGCAAGGCAGCCACCTGAGGGAGGGGTGTCTCTTCACCTGGGGAAGGTCTATCACCTTGAGAGATTCTTGACATCTTGGGGTCTCTCCACTTGAGGGGGAAGCCATATACTTTTCTTAGGTGACCGTACCAGCATTTTTGCTGTTTAATTGTAGATGGAGTCTCTTGCCCTGACTGGCTTGAAACCACAATCCTCTGAGATCCTCTGATCTCAGTCTCCTGAGCTGCTCTGATTATAGGCAAGAGCCACCAGAACTTAGCAGATCCACTTCCCTCAATGAAGACAAAGAGCAACACAAAATCTAGCTCCTCTCTTCTGCTCAGTTCTGGAAGGGACACAGGCAGTCCTACTCAGGACCTGGACCCAGACAGTGGGGAGAACACAAGATATGATGCACAAGGCCACCTACAGATCAGCCACGCTTACAACAGGCCCTCAGGCATAGAAATAGCTGCAAAGGGCTCAAGGAGAAAATGGAAGTTCCAGCTGGCTATGGAAGCCTATGTTACTCTGGCTAGAATGATAGCTCCTAGTATCTGACACTCAGTGCCATGTGGCAGACATTGGGCACACCAGCACACCAGTGTTGATGGCTGGTCCAGACAGGTACAAAGGGCCTGTGATCTTCCTCATAAGAAACAAGGCCCAGAGGTTTCTGGCCAAACCAGAGCAGCACCAGGAGCAGCAGGGACACTTGTGGGCAGAGAAGAGAAGGAAACACCCAGCATCAGCCTGGTAGGCCAGCCTCCAGGAGCTTTAGTTCTGTAGGTGGAATTCAAAGGAGAACAAAAAACTGCACCCTGTGACCTCTCAAGGCGAAAAGTAAATGAAGAGGTATTGTCAAGTGACAGAGAACTGAAGCCACACTGCTATGGGAAGGTGGCAGCTTTCTGAGCCAATGATGAACACTGTAATTAAGGACAGCTCAGCCCTGTAAGATAGTCTCAATCCTGGCCTCATTTCCCAGAACAACAGGAAAGATAACCAGGAGGCTATAAATCTTAAATCTTGAGTAAACAAAACAAACGCTATAGGCCTGTGCCCACGCTCAATGGCTCATCAGCCCTCCACCTCCCTGAGACCTGGAACACAGGGGTCTGTCTGCAGGTCACAGTGGAAGGGCAGGCAGAGCCTATGCTAGAGAAGATAAGCAGTGTTCCCCAAAAGAACAGAGCAGTGGACAGAAGAGATAGGTAATGAAAATATAACCCCTGTTTTGTGCTTTGGGGCAGGCCACACAACAGCTCCAACCTACAGCCCACTCTGCATCCCTCCACCTACCTGCTGCCAATCAGCAACACAGGCTGCTACAGGGGCCAGAGTGGAACAAGAATCCTCCACCATTATGGGATTCCTTAGTCCTAAATCTCAGTTCATCTCTAGTGATTACCATCACCTGAAAGGAATGACTATCTCCAAAAGCAATTACTTTTCTCAACACACATACAATCTTATAACAGTATAGGACAGACACTGGCTCCCTTCTGCTGTAGTTTCAACAAAGGTGTTATTAAGACTTGAACAAGACTGAATCACTCAGCTCCATTTCCCTCCTGCTGTCAAAACACCAGGTTAAACCTGGGTAGTATGGAACAAAAGCTCCCGCCCCCATTCACAGAGAGAAAAGGACTCCAAGCGAGGAGCTGAGGCTTCCTGCCAGAGGCAGAATCACAGTGGAAGCCAGAGGGCTGGGGTGGGAGCAACAGCCAACATACCTGAGGTTCAAGCCCATGGTCTGGTCCAATCTCTCCCAGCTCTGCAGCTTTACCAGCAGCTTCTGAAAAGACAACAACAGCTATGTCCCCCCTTCACCACTGACCAAACAACCATCATCATGTAAAACTGACAATGACAATAGCAATGCCAAGTTTCCTGATCTTTGAGGCCATTCTGCCCCTGCCTGAGCCCAGACTCATGAAGGTTCCAAGTCTGCTTCAAAGCAGTCTTTTGCTGGTCTGAGCTGCTAAAGTTCCACAGCATGGTTCAGCCTCACTCCTTCCTGGCCTCACAGATTCACACAAGCTACCAGGACCACCAGGATACAATGGCTCTGTAGGAATCTGTGCCCTCAATGCAGACCCAGTCCTGAGCCCTGAGGATCCATTGCACTCCATCTTCCAGCTGTCTCTTGGATGCCAAGTTCCAGTCAGATGGATTTGATCCCAGAGCCAAATTTCCCCCACCCTCACTGCAAGCTAGGATCAGCAAACCTAGAGGACCAGGAAAGGGGCAGCATTGCCCACATGCTTGTACACGCTGGCCTGAACCCCAGAAAGCCAATTTTCACTGTTCTTCTGGAACTGAAGCAGAACATGAAGACCATGTGCACTAGACCAGCCTCCTATCACTCCCTCGGAATTACAGCACAGGACTGCAATCAGTTCTTCTCAAACTTCTGGAACGCTCTTTGAGCCATTAGGTTCCAGGTGAGTAACTTCCCAAAGTCAGTGCTGTTACATCACTACACAGCAGGCCTGATCTGAGCACTTAGTGTGAGTTGAAGCTATTACTACTACTCACAGTGCAGACAGAACAGATTGGATAAGGGACTGGCCCATGTCACACAGCCAGCAAGCATTCCTGCAGGACTTTGGACAGTGACTTTAGAGCTCAAAATTGTTAAAAATCTATTTCAAAACAAACAATACATTGTGTGCAGAGAAACAGAAAGGTACTTGGTGTAGAACCATCCTGGCAGGCTACATTCCAAGAGAAACCCACCAAGAGAGGTCCATCCCCTGAAGGATTGGCTGGCTGTGAGCCACAGCACAAAAAGTGGTCACAGGCTTTTTGGTCCCCACAAGTCTTCAGCTGTCCTGAAAGGAGAAAGACTCGTAGATTCCCAATCCTCCAAAGGGGAGCAGCTCAGGAATTAACAGTGAGGTGGGGACAGATGCCAAGGGCCAAAGTAGTGAACAGACACTAGTACTCCTCTAGTCTGGGACTGAATTAATGAACAGTGGCCTGGTACATCCTGGGCACAGCAGGCAAGGACAGCAGGAGTGATCAGGAGAAGCAGTGGGAAAGGCAGGAGACCCCAGGCTAAAGCTGAAAGTCTAATGCAGACCAAACCTGCTGTATGGTGGTGGGGGGGGGCTTCTCTGACCCTCACTTTCTTCAATGCCCACAACACAACTTCCCATTGCTGCCAGAATGGGCATCTACCCACTCAGCACCAGCCAAGTGCCAGCAGAAGCAGGGAGAAGAAACGCAGCAGTGTCCACCATGTCTCTCTCACAGGTGCCAGGAGCCTTTCTTTCCTAATGTGTCATCTGAGCCAAGTCTCTGCTGCTGCTGGTCAACCACACATATTCAGCAGCCTCAATAAATCAGTCTTTTACTGCTGAACTTGAGAAACCAAACTAGGTCTCACTGGGCTCAACACAAGATACCAGCTTGGCTATGATCTTTCTGGAAACTCAGCTGCTTTCCAACAGCTAGAGGCATCCACATCCCTTGGCTCAGGGCCCCTTCCTCCATCTTCACATTTGGCAACGGCTGAAGCAGGTCCTCCACCCTACCTCCCTGAGGCCACCCAGCCCACCCAGATAACCCAAGATCATCCCTGGGCCCCAACCCAGCCAAGAGACAAGTGCATGCAACCTCACATTTGCCAGCACAAGCACCAGCCATATTTGAGCAGCTTTTTTGGGTATGACCAAGATGCCCAGGGTATGGGTCAGGGCTGAAGGCAGCCCCATAGGCAAAGCTTACCCACTTGACCCTCACCTCCTTTTCCAGTTCCAAATCAACCAGAGCTTCCTGCAGCTTTTCCTGGCGGCCCAGCTTCCTCTGCAGCCCTTCCAGCTCCTCTGAGAGGAGTCCGTTGGTCTCCTTCATCTCCCTGCAGGACCGGCAAGTCACTCCAACAGCCACACATTAAGGGGGAACCCAGGGCACCAAGGAGCTGGAGGCGGTGCAGCCACATCAGACTCCTTACCGCAGGTGAGTGTTCTCCTCCTGGAGTCGCTTCAGCTCTCGCTCCACCCTGGGCAACCGCAGTAGTTCAGACTTCATGTTCCTCACAACGGCTGCATCCTGCTCCTGCAGACACAGCTTCTGCTCCAGGTCCTGTAACAGTCAGGCAGAAGGGACAGGGGACAGTGAGCACCAAGACACATGAAAATCACCTCTGCCAGTGCAGAAGATAGGATGCTAAAATCTGAGGATTGCAATTTGAAGCCAGCCAGGGCCAACAAATCCCAGAGATCTCAAGTTTACCAGCAAAAAGTCAGAAATGGAGGTGTGGCTCAAGTGATAGCATACCCAGCCTTGAGCATAAAAAGCTAACCAAGAGCAACAGGCCTTGAGTTCAAGCCCCAATACATACACACACACAGACAAACACACAGACAAACACAAAGACACACACACACACACAGAGACACACACACACACACACACACACACACATCCTTCCTCTCTCCCTCCCTCCCCAAAAAGGAATGGATTATCTGCTTAGCAACTGTGAAACCCTGAACTATACCCCACTACCACAACAAAGAAAGGAAAGAAGGAAGGTAGGAAGGCAGGAAGTCATGGAAGCCGTAACAGTCTTGTGCTAACTTGTCCCAGGACCTCAGGGACCTTCTGGTTCAGGTTTCACACACAGGCCCTCCTCTGGGAAGCCTTTCCTGTCTGTACCAAGTATGCCACTGGCAGCATTTTCATTATCCACTTCTAGAGCAGCCCTGTCTACCACACACAAGAAGCCATGTCCTTGGCACCACTGTTCAGCCCTCAGTTCTGCAAGAGCTCTACTTGTCACTGAAGCCTGCTTCTGCTGCACAAGCAACACATCCACACAACTGCAAGGATAAGCTTTCCTTTGCTGGATCTGTCACTATGGGACTCGACAAGAGGGTGCTCGCATTGAGTGACAAGTCACTGAACAGGATGAGCAGAAAACTAAAACAAGCCAAGTCAGTTGGACAATCCCAAGCCCAATGCAGCCACCTCTGTGCAGGTCAAGTCAAGAGAACAAAGTGACACAGAGGACCATCCTGGCTGTACACGCAAATTCTGAAGTGGGCCAAGGGCTACAGAGGGAGAGGTAAGGGCCAGCAAGAAGATAGCAAAGAAGGCAAAGTGGGAGGGGATAAACCAGCAACCAAAGACAACAGGAGTAAAGCTCACAGGCCTGGGACTTGTCAGACCTCCCACAGAGTGCTCTTCTATAGGCAACAGAAGCCACAGGAAGGATCTAAAGGCACCATCAGTCCAGCAAAGCAGCACAGCCTGCCATGAAGGCCAGATGGCCTGGCTTGGAGACACAGCCCTGATGTGCTCTGGCAGTTGAACTCTGGACAGGACTGCAGTGGTTTACTACTGCATATCATCTTTGACAGCCACTTGCCCCTCAGGTTTCCAGGAGGTCTCCATCACCAAAATGTGAGACTCCCAGAGCATTTTCTGTGGGCTCGCTGGCCAGCGTAGACATAAGGACGATGCACTAATGTCATCACATTCCACAGAGTACACTCCTAGCTAAGAAAGGCCTAGAGCAGCAAAAGAGCAAAACCACCAGCTTTCTGCAGGATACCCATTCAGGCTGATGCAAGCAACCCACCTTAACCTTCTGCTCAAGGTCTGCTCTCGCTTCTTGGCTGGCCTGCAGCTCCTGGATCTTCTGGTTCGCTTCTTGCCATTGTCTATTCAAAGAAGAGTACATCACATGCAAGGAGAGCCCGCAATGCCTTTCTGCCTAAGCCCCTTAGCATGGACCACACCTGCCTGCTTCAGGGGAATGAATGCCAGTCTGGGACCAGACCCTATGCCAGCACTGTAGCTTTAGTATCCTCCATCTGGATGGGACAGTGGGTGAGCTTGAGCACCCCAGACTGGCTGTCGACAGCAGGGGCCCACTGGGGCCTGCCCACTCCTCTCCCCCAAGGACAGAATGCTCCTTAGACAATAATTGCTTAGGGTCAGGGAAAGCATTTCAGGGAGAACACACGGCCTTCCACATGCCACATGTCCATGCCCTATTTGGTTTGTTCTCTGCCCCTGGAATGTCTTCCCCAGCCAATGACACTGAATCCATAGGAAATGCTTTATGTTGCTCCAAATCCAGCTGATCAGGATCCTTCTCTAGCATCCCATTCCAAGAAGTCACACCCCTCAGGAAGGAGGGAAGGAAGGAGCTCCAGTTCCAGCTCAGGAATGTTTAAGATGCTATCCTGCTCTGACACTCATTGTCCTGGCTTCAGAGACTACAATCTGTAAATGAGGACAGTATTGAAGCCTAGGGAAGTTCAGGGCCCTAGGCCCTTTACCTGTGCTTCAAGTCCAGCTGCTCCTTCAGCTCCTGCTTCTCAGACTCCAGGCGTTTCACCTGCACCTCCTGGTCCATCACACTCCACTGCATCTCCGAGACTCGCCCCTTCAATGCACTGATGGTCTGAAAATAGAGGGACATCAGGCCACCTATTAAGACCAGTCTGCAGGTACAGCTTCCACAGGGAAGCAAAAACCAACAGGAAAAGACAATTACCTCCCCTTTTGCTACCTGAAGGTAGAGACAGAGCCCCTTCTCCCAGGGAGTTGGTGCCAGCTAGACAAATCCAACTCCCTGGGAAGGCTCCCAGCCTGGGCCTTGTCTGCCACAGGCTGATAGATGTGGGGCACAACCATAGGCCTCAAGAAAGCTGGTCCCACTTGAGAGGCTTTGGAGCAAAAGCTGCCTCTGGCCAGAACAGACCTAACCTGAAGCCTGGTGGCCACCAGGCCTGGTGTCCTGTGCCCAGCACCCAGCATCCTTGCACACCGAGTACCCACCTCTATTTTTTTTCAACACCTTGTCTCTCACCATCATATCCTGTGCCTGCAATCTCTATCTCTGACCAGCCCTGTGCTGTGTTCCAACAGTTTGTGAGGACATGATCCAGAGTATCAGGGCAGCAAATTCCCCTCTTGGACACAGGACACTGAGGCTGTCCTCCAGGCTATGAAAGCTATCCCGACTGGAGAGCTGAAAGGCAGCCTTGGGGACAGAACTCCCAAGCTGGCAAGCTGGGCCAGAAGCTACTGGGGAAACAGTAGACTCAAAAGGAGGGTGGAGCCGGGTGCCAGTGGGTCACGCCTGTAATCCTAGCTACTCAAGAGGCTGAGAGCTAAGGATTGTGGTTCAAAGCCAGCCCAGGCAGGAAACTCCCTGAGACTCTTATCTCCAAAACCACTCAGAAAACCAGAAGTGGTACTGTGGCTAAGTGGTAAAGAAATAGCCTTGAGCTGAAGAGCTCAGGAACAGTGCCCAGGCCCAGAGTTCAAGCCCCAAGACCAACCAAAAAAAAAAAAAAGGAGGGTGGTCTCACAGCAGCTGCCCATCTAGCAGCCTCCAGGACAAACTGTGAGTCCACCTGAAGCAAATACCACCTTTCACTCTGAGGCACCTCTCTGGGCAATGGCCCCTGCAACACCTCAGGGAAGAATATGCTGGCCGGGGCAATGAGAATGGCCAGCATAGCTGTATAAGAAAGCATGTAAATGAGGCCCAACATCAGCCACACAGAACATGAACACAGAGGGCAAGAGGCTGGACCCAGCAACTACATCACAGTGATTCTGGGTGGCCTGGGCCAGGGTGTCTCAGTACCCTCTGCAAAAAGACCACAGTATTCATTCCCTATCCTTGACAACTCACTGGAATACAGCAGCACTGTTCCCCCACACCCTCTAGGGAAAGCACACAGAAGTGCCCTACCCCCTCAAACCTATACAGTTCACTCTGTCACAATAGTGTACATCAACCTAGCCCTCAGAGAATGGAGGTATTAAATCATGTCCAACAAGGATTCAGGAACACAAGCAGGCACTGAGCACTATGATGAAGGACAGTGTCAATGGGGGACAGTTTCAGGGAGGACTGAGACAGCTTCATAGTGGGGAGAGCTATAAGTGGGGTAACAGGACAATGCAGCCATGGGCAGGCTTTGATCACAGGGGCTTCTCTGAGGATTCACCCCCCCCGATTCCTTAAAGGTATACAAGGCTCTCCCTACCCTCCAGTACAGAACAGCACATGGGGTCTGGGACCCACAGCCCACCCCAGCCAGTGCAAAGCAGGAGCCAACTTCTCTGAAAGCCGATCACGCCTCCTCTCCTGACAACACTCCTTCAGAAGACAGATGCAGGAACAACCTTAACATGCTCCCAGCGCTGTGGAGGCAAAAATAACCTGCAGCCTGCTCTGAGTCTATCAAGTGGAGAAAGTGCATGGAGACAGAATACCAATGATGCAATATAGCCCAGCCCTCCCCCAGTGGTGCTCATCTGTCTCCTCTTGGCACCTGTGATCTTCAACACCACACAAAACAGACAGAGAAGGTCGGGGGGGGGGGGGGAGGTTCTAGTTCCCATGAGTAGCAACATTCAGGTGTATAAAAACACGGAGACAAAGAGAAGCTTTCCCCTGTACTACAGCTCACACATACCCTGGTTCAAAGGCATTCTCTGATGCTGGAGATGCTAACAAAACTTGCTGGTAATCAAAGAAATGCAAATCCAGATGCACCCAATTGCTCATATCTTCTGGGAAATAAAGAAAACCATGTTTCTGGAACTTAGGGCCATCTATGACAGTCAAGGCTGTTGTGACACCAGAAGTTCTAAAGCAGCTGTCAGCACAACCCAGCACCTGGCAGCAAAAGCAAGAGAGAACCTTGCCAGGTCCTGTCACCTTACTCAAGGGTCAGTCCCCACAAAACAATGCAACAGAAGCAAATAGGCTGCCCACAAGAAGCTATCTGCCATGCACACCAAGTGAATACAAGAAATGGGGGGGAGGGGAAGGATGGAATGGAATGGAATGGGATGGGAAGTGGAAACAAAGAAGGCAACAATGCTTGATAAAAAATGTACTCATTATCTTGCTCATGTAATTGTAACCCCTCTGTACAATATTTTCACAATTAAAAAAAAAGAAACAAAAACAAAAAAACACACTTTAAAATGACAAAAGATGAATCAGCCAAGCATTAAGATTGCTAAGTTAGGAAGACCAAAAAGGTCCTCAACTTATTAACAGAAACCACAGAATGGAAAATTAATATTTTCACTATGATCACAGCCAAGCAAAAGTGCAGGTGCACTGTGAGAGGTCTAATTTAAAGTAAAGATGTCTCAGTGCCACCATGGAGTTGGGAGCGCATTCATTCTTCTTCCTTGGAAAATGGCTAAAGGCCTAGGGTTGACCCCCAGAGCCCCAGTCCTGAGCCCCTCATTCCTCCAGACTGCACTCACCTCACTGGCTGCAGCCAGGCTGTCCTCTTGCTCACGCAATTGCTTGTTGGCAGTGTCCAGGCTTTGCTTGCACTGCCTGTGGCGCTCCAGCTGCTCCTGTATCTTCTCCTCCGCCTCAGCTTCCCGATCCTGAAGCTGCCGAATGCGCGCCAGCAGCTCCTGGTTGCGGTCTACCTCACGCTGTGAACAGGGAAGAACTTGGCCAGAGTGAGGTGCAAATGCAAATAGGCATGAGGACATGGGCAGCCCAGACCACTCAAGACCATTAGCCCAGAAGAGCAGAACTGGGACAAGACTTGGAACCCCATGCCAGTGCTCCTGCCACAGCAGCAAGATAGGTCCCACTCTAAGGAGCCAGTCCCCAGGAGGCACTTGGCAAGGATCACACCATGCTCTCATTACACTGTCTGCTCACAGGGGAGACCATTTTTGCAGGGAGGAAATGGAGCATGGAAAAATCTAAAATTCAAAAACAGCCTTGGAAAGAAGTTGGGCTTCTGCAGCAGATCTTGCTGAATGCACTGAGGCTATCCTTAAATAAGTGCACTCCTGCAATCACCAGATAACTGAAGCAAGACAGGCAGACACTGGCCTGCAGACACAATTGCTTTACACTGGGCACACAACTGCCATATCACACAGACCTAAGAGCCAACTCCTACCATGAAGGCCTGGGAAGCTGGTGAGGAGGGGACAAAACTAGAACCTCTGCTCAGACCTCCTCACTCCATGATCCACAGGAACCTGACAGGTTCTCTGTCAGTCACAGAGAAGGGAGGGAGCAAAGGGCAGGAGCTGGATCCTGGGTAGATAGGAGTGAGTGCTGGTCACCAAAGCCCAACACTGCTGCTCTCTCCCCGCCTCCATGGAAGCTGTCCCCACAAGCTATCCCTAGAGTACAAGGCCTTACTCAGAGTCACTTATGTACAGGATGCTCCAATGCCTGACCAAAGGTTTAATAAAAATACAGGAATGCAGCCCCATGGAGGGAAGGCTGACCCATACCTCAAAGGGATTTGAGGGAGCATTAACTGCAAGTGCAGCCCCAAAATATCCAGTGGATCCTCGCTGAACAAGCATGCTACATAGGGTACAACTGTTTATAATCAGTGCTTAGAATGCATGAGGCTCTTAGCTAAGGCAAACAGGGAGGGATCCAAGGAGGGAAAGAGAGACAGTCATGGCCAGAACAATGTCTCTACAGGTACTGCATATTCCCAAGCATAGAAAAGGGGTTCAGCAGTCTCTTACAGCCTTACCATCTAATTGCTATTTTGACCTGTCCTACCCACCCATGGCCAGATGGTTCCTGAGCACTATTCAGCATGCCTATGGACCAGGGAGAACAGACCATGCTCATTCACCCTACTGTGTTCCTAGGCCTTCCCCAAGGAAGGACCATGCAGTGACCCCCTCATAATCTCCAATGTTCTAAGCACCCACAAAGCTAGAACTAGTGCTGGACACTGGAGACCCAGAGCCAGGTAGGTCCTTTCCTCAAGGGACCCTGAACAGAGAAATGGCCCCAGAACCCTTCTGTGTGGCATTAGGACCACCTGGACCTGCCTTCCTAACAAAGACAGCCCACTGAGCCCAGACAACACACCGTGACCAGGAATCTGCATCCCAAACTCAAACAAACCCATTAGCAGCTGTTCCCAACAGAACTAGGCTGGGTACCAGAAGCTCACACCTATAATCCTAGCTATTCAGGAGGCTTAGATCTGAGGATCATGGTTCAAAGCCAGCCTAGGCAGGAAAGCTCTTTAGACTCCTATCTCCAATTAACCACCAGAAAACCGGAAGTGGTGCTGTGGCTCAAGTGATAGAGCATTTACCTTGGGCTGAAGAGTTCAGGAACAGCGCCCAGGCCCAGAGTTCAAGCCCCACGACCACAAAAAAAAAAAAAAAGATAGGAGCCAGACAGACATCCTCAGAGGCAGGGAGGCCAGAAAGACTCTGGTCCAGCTCTGCCTGAGTCTTGCAGCATTTTCAAGGCTCCTGGCAAAGCACTGTTAATCAAAGTGCAGCAGACATGGGCTGGGAAGGTGGCTCAGTGGTAGAACGCTTACCTTGCATGCATGAGGCCCTGGGTTCGATTCCTCAGTACCACATAAGCAAAAAGCAAAAAGCCGGAAGTGGCGCTGTGGCTCAAGTGTTAGAGCGCTAGCCTTGAGCTGAAGAGCTGAGGGACAGCACCCAGGCCCAGAGTTCAGGCCCCACGACCGGACCCAAAAAAAAAAAAAAAAAAAGCAAAGTGCAGCAGACAGAAGTTCCCATGTAGTACATTCCTGAATCACAGGGCTGCTGGGAAGCCAACAGCAAATGTAGTGACACAGATAGGTTCTCTGCTGAGGCCCTGAAACCACCTTAGCGGACCCAGCATTGGCCCTGTGCATGCTATACATCCTCACACCACCTGGTATTCCTCCCACATCTGCATCCCAATTCTGGCAAAATTCCCAGCAGAGGCAGGTCTGTTGGCACTAGAGCCTCACTGAGCAGTCACCACATAGAAGCTCCCCTTTGTGTTTATCTCCACTTTAGAGACCCTACCCTAGAATTGCTGGCCTCAGAGAGAGGCCTGGCAGAGCCCCTGAAGGGTCTCCTCCCCCATCCCCAGCCCTGACCTCTGAAGCCTGGCAGATGCTACACACACAGTTCCTTGCACAGTTCTTGCCCGTCCCACCTGAACCCACCTCGTAGTTCCTGGCATTGGTGCTGGCTGCCCTCTCCAGCTCCACTCGCGCCCTCTTGTGACTCAGTTCCATCTGCATCTTCTCCCGCTCCATCTGGATGAGGTAGGTCTTTGAACGGATCTGTTCTGCTTTTTCCTCCAACTGAGCCCAGTGTACCCAAAGAGAAAGAGAATCCTCAGTAGCCCCGTCAAACAGGCACCACTCTCCCCAAGGCCCTGTACCAAGCCTGGGTTCCTGCTTAGGAAATGGGTAGGAGGCAATGAGCAAAAGGAACAAGACAGATTCAAAGGGACTAAGACAGCTGGGAGTTGTAGCTCACACCAATAATCCTAGCTCCTCAGAATAAAGAGAGAAGCAAGATCTCAGATCAGCAAAAAAAGGAGAAAGAGCCTCATCTTAGACAATAAGGAGCAGAGTGTAATGATTTCCCACCTGTTATCCTAGCTATGGAGAAAGCATAAATAGGAGGATCAGGGTCTAGAAAGGTCCAAACAAAAATGCAAGACCCTATTCAAACAAATAACTAAAAAAGAAAAAAAGGCTAGGGCTGTCTGGGGCTCAAGGGTAGAGCACTTGCCTAGCAAGCGAGGGAGAAGGGAAGGGGAAGGATGAGATTTTAAGATGATAGTGCTGAAGCAGGTTTGAAGATAGAAAGTATACTTGACTTTTATAGCTGTACAACAAATTACCACAAATTTGGAAGCTAAGACACCACTCATTTACAAACTAATTCTGGATGTCACAGGCCACTGGATTCTTCAATCAAGGTCACCCGCTGGTAAAATCACGGGCCAGGGCTCTGACTATCCAGAGCTCAGGACCCTCTGGCAGGGTGGATACGTGAGGTCCATTTCCCTACTGAGTATACCTGGATTTCTGTGGGTACCTGGAACGTACCCATGTCCTAACCACATGGCATCTGCCTCTCCTGCTATATATGAGTCTACTTCTACCTGATATCAGAACACAGATTTGTTCCCCCATTTTGGCAATAATGAGCTATGTACCCTCTTCCCTCCTCAGCTACCCAGCCACCCCCCAGGATTTTTATTTTATATATTTATTTATTTTTGAGATAGGTCTTACTCTATAGCCCAGGCTACCCTGTATTTTGCTTCAGCCTTCCAAGTACTTAGATTACAGGTAAGCACCACTACACTAAGCTGGACCCAAACTTTTTTTAATACCAGAGGTTT